GATAACAAGAAGGCAACCTGATATCGCCGTCCACGGAAAAGGGATAGCTATGGAAAACAACAAAAGCAAAAGAAAAAGGGTGGAGAACGTAGGTGGGTCAGATGAAACAGACGATTAGAATCCGAAACAGATTGGGAGCTGGGGATAGATGATCTGGCCCAGGGTAAGGAGAATATGGGCTTATAATGGTAATAAGAAAGAAACTGTAAGTAAGAGCAGAAATTACACTTGTATGTTACAGGTCTAACCTAGGATGAGGGGAGTGATACATTTTGTCACTACTGGAATGATCAGGATGGAAAGTGTGTGTCTGGTGCTAGAGGAGATGGAAGAATCTGTCACTTTGGTACCAGGGTATCGGCATGTCCAGGTATTCTTTGTGTTGACTGAAATGACTGCTCCAGAATAGTGTTCGTTTGCTACAAAATGTTTATGTACCCACCTCCTTGATGAACAATTGAGCAGGAGCGAGCTTATGATAAACTAGAATAGAAAGAAAAGAGGACGATTGGAGTTAGCAGGGGCAGGATATGCATCAGGAGTAGCAACTGTCAACATCCTGGACATAGCAGAATTAGAAAGTCAGATACAATCCTTTCAGCAGAAAATGCAGGTCATTACTTGGGAAGGTTACTTAGACTGGATACGGACAAACCAGATAGGTCAGGATGGGTCACAAATGACCCTGGACGCAGTTGAATTTCTAAAACCTTTACAGGACACAATGAATTTAATTATTGATCGTATGGTTAATACTTCTAAGGAGGCCAAGGTGTGTGCAATATACACCAGCTGGGTGTTGACAATGATCAGAATTAATTTGCTACAACTGCATGCTCACCAAGTCCCAGACTGGGTGTCAGATGAACAATTAATAAAGTGGGTCAAAGAGAAGGAACAACTGTGTCACCTCAGAAGTTTGACCTTAACCAATAGGGTGTTGTGTACTTGTGACAATGATAAAGGGAGGTACTTTGTTGGGGCTGTGTTTCATATTCCCTGACATGGAACTAATATGACCTAGCCTTTAAAAAGAGTCCGTAATGTGGGAAAGTACCATGAAAGTACTTGGAAATCTTTAAGTAACGCACCATCTCATGCTATGGTAATGGATGGTGTTGAGGAACGGGTAGATTTGGCAAAATGTCACCAAGGAGAGGATCACTGGGCCTGCCCAGATGAGACAATAAGACAAAGATTTACAGATTGCAGTCTCAGCACCTATGAATAACCAGTCCTTTTTACAACACGCCCTTGTGGGATATACATTTTACACAGCCATAGCAGCTACGAACAATACCAAGGGATGGAGACAATTCCCTTTGGAAGGGCACAATGTGGTTATTAATAATGTGATCTCTGATTTGAAGATTGGTGAGCAGGTGCTGCCCCAGCCAATAACCAGTGCGGTGATGAGGGAAAACCTCACGATCCAATATATAGATACAGATCAGGACCTACTGAGGTTTGTTCCCACATTCTGCCCCTGACAGCAGATTGTACACGTATAGTGAGGTTGCAAAAGAGATAATTCATCAGTGGACTAAACACACTAAAGTAATGAGAACTCATGCTGATAAAGCAAAGGAGTTACTGCGGCACCCTGGATTGTGGGACAGGTTCTAGAATTGGGGATCCAATGTTCAAATACATCCATCGGTCAGAATTCTGTCACACATTGCTGTAATGGTGATCTAAGTGCATTAATAATCATCATATTTAATATATGGCAGCTTAGAAGGTGGAAAAGTTAAATTATTAAAGATTGGACATTGAGGCTATAAGGAAACAGAAGAAGCGCTACGAAAACATGGTTTGAATTCATTATTTGCTTGTCATTGCCTGTTTTTTTTTGCTTGTTTCTTTTTGTATACAATTGCCTGTTAATGTTATGTATTATATATGTATATATATGCTCATTTCTTTATTTTGTTATAACGATATAACAATGTCAATGTGATACACTCATTGAGGGGCACTGACTGTCCCAGAAGCAATTCACAGAAAGGGACTGAGAATGATCTTTGGATCAAGAGGAGGGAGATGTTAACCAGGGGCTGCAGAGAGAGACAGGCAGGAAGACAAGCTGCTGCCATCGCTGCCTGGGAGATGCTGACCACAGGCTGCAGAGGGAAAGGTGGAGACAGGGGGTGTCAGTTGTCGATATCGCTAACAGGAGATACTAGATGTAAAAAAATGCTGACATAAAGAAAGAAACAGCTTGTGAACTGAGGATAACCCAGACCTAGGAGGTGGCCTGAGCCAATCAGAACCACTTGGTGCCAACCAAGTTCTGGAAAAAAAAAGTAAGAAAGATGAGGTAATGCAAAAGCCTTATTTGGACGAGGGCTAATGAGGTAATGCTACCGAAGTCTCTGGTCCAGGGCCAATAAGGTAAAGATGTGCAATAATTGAATTAGCCTGAGCCAACAGGAAAAAGACAACACGACTTGAGAAAGAGAAGGAAAAAGGATGAAAGAAGACCCTAGGGGTATGCAGCCAGCGAAAACTCCAGAGACCAACTTTCGCAGAAGCGCGCCCCTCGTCAGGGACGTGGTGACGGTATCGAGTGCGGCGTCTGGTTAACGTCAGTCCCCGGCAGCCACGACAGCTATTCTGCACCGGTATTCGCTTTTATATTCTGTGACTATTCTGGAAGTGTTAGGAACCTTTGTGGGTGTACAAATAGGTTCTAGCTCTTTCGGGAAAACATATGAGTTACATGTGTATCGTCTAAAGTATAAGCCATACGTGTACCTTTTCATAATATGTAAATAAAAGAAATTAGTAAGTTACAGCAAAAGCAACGCTTCCCCTCTCTTTACGAGCCGATAACCGGAGCCGGTGTATGCCGAGCTTCAACAGTTGTTTTTAATCCCTTCAGAAAATTCACACAATGAATTCTGTGTACTGACACACGGTTCCAGAGAATGACCAGCCCAGCCCGTGATCTTTGGAATTAGAAACAGAAAAGGGCTTTGTAACTTGTACTGAATACTGGCCAGGAATAGAGATCAAAACAGAAGGGAGGAGGGAATGTTTACAACACATGTCAAAAATTGCATTACCAAATGGTTCAATTTACAAACATCAATAACCAAAAAGTGACTGAACGAATAACTTGTTCCAACTTCAGATTGCACACAGCTGCGTGAAGTGAATGTTGTAAAAATGCAGGTAGAGTAATCCAAGGCCCACTGTTGAGCTGGAGACACAGTATCATATGAATGTCAGTCATAATAATTGCCTCTATGTTTAGTCACATGGTACAAAGAAGCATTTTGATACTTTCCCCAAACTGCAGATTTATTAATGTACTGGCTGTTAGTACTGGGCCTGAGGTTTAACCCAATGAAGGATCATTGAATTTTTGATTTAATCTACGCTGTATTCAACCCTCCTGCTTCCCAAGAAAATCTGATTGCAGGGTAGGGGGAAGTCTGAGGGAGATTAATCACAGATTGTTGTCACCTTTCACTTGCTAATGTAGGCAGAAGCTAAAAGCAGGTCCTACGCTCACCCTGTCAGACCCAAGAAGTTTGTATTGGGAAAGAAAAATAGGTGGATTTCTTACTTTCAATAGCAAATTATATTCGCACAGCAAGCGAATCACGAACATGGTATATGGGTAATCTAGCAATTTAGTTAATTGTTAACCTGATTGAAGAACTGCCCATGCCAATGAATCAGACATTGGAGTTGATTTCCACACCTGAATTAAATACTAAGTGGAAGGGCTATCAGTGGAACAATTGGTCAGACTCATCATGGATAATGATGTAGCACTAGTTACAACATTCTCATGAACACCGGAACAGGTCAGTCAATTCTTTCAATCTCTTATGGTGCTTTTTTTTCCATATGAGCCACCTAATCTAAACACAATCTCATCTTCAGTCTTTGTGCCTTTTAATGTTCCTCAAATTGGACAACCCAGTCACTTCTTTATTTTTGTTTCACAAGCTACATCACTTCCACGCTGGTTCAATTGAGTTTGATGTTCAATAAGTATGAATGTGTTTGCACGTCAACTGCTGTAACTGGAGTTGAGATGCCCAGTAATTTTACTTCTGTACTTTAGTATTCCACTAAATTTTAAAAAAAAATATAATCTGGAAAGTGGTCATATGATCTTATCATTTATGCTAGTGTGAACTGAAATGTAATTTTATTTTGTTTGGTACTTTTATGCTGTAAATTTGCATTATGTTCTCAATGGTTATACATATTAAATTTTCCATTCTCTGGTTAAGTATGACATTAATTATACAGCTTTACTTTGTTTGATAAAGTTGTTTAAAAGTAGGCTAGAAATACGTTAAACTGACATTGTCTGAAATGATATGATATTGTCTGAGCAGACATGCTTGTCTGGTCTCTCTGTTGCTTTGATTCTGGTCTCTGGCATATTTTAGCCGCTCGCCTCACTTTACATTCTCTATCAAGATTTCAAGAATTGTGGAATTCCTCTCAGCTTTAACGTCAAAACATGTAGAATAAAGGGAATACAACAGTACAGCACAGGAACAGGCTGCTTGGCCCACTGTGTCTGTGCCAACCATGATGCTGTTCTAAATTAAACCTGTCTATGTGTGCATGGTCTGTATCGCTTTATTCCCTGCCTGTTCATATGTCTTGTTCAAGTGCTCCTTAAACATTCTTCTGTCTCGTTCTCCTCATAAGCCATAACCATGGCCGAATCTTCGTTCAATTCTCACCACCTTTTAATTTCCTCATAACGCATTGAAGAACCTCTTTTAAGCATTTTTCCACATTTACAGGTAAAAATGGGTACATCCTTCTCTATTGCCTAGCTTCTTTGTCTAACGTGTGTTTTTTTTTAAAGCTTAGTCTATTTTTACTTCTGTGACAATTTTAAGGATGAATGATTTAAATTTCCTGAACCCTTAAAATACATTTGCAATGATGGAAAGCTATTCCTGTGATAAGCCACTTGGTGGAGTGTTAAGTTTGGAGCCTTTATAGTGTGGCTTCAATTCATGCATTAAGAAGCTCAGCAGCAGGGTGTGGTGGCTTGAGGGAGGTTAAACTCTCTCAGTTCACCCCTCTGGTTGCTAGGGTTTCTAACACAGGACAGGGTTCCAGACAAGGGCAAGAGAGATTCACAAGGAGGACTAGAGCAAGTACCTGTTCTGAAATATTTGCTTATGTTCCTTAGACCTGTAACTTAATATTGGCTACTTATTAGACAATGTTAAGGCCTAATCTCCAAGTTGCAAAAGATGTTGTCTCTCTCTGCAAGTTATCGAACAATCTTTTTAAAATGGAAAAAGTACTGTCTAATGTTCTAGGATTAACACCGAAACAAAACTATTCTAATTTCTTTTTCAAGGAAGCGTATCTTTTTCTCTGCATCAAATGTTCCTTGTCATTCTTTGCTTCCCCTTTACCAGAGTACTGCCCCACTGCCAAACAAGGGTCACGGTCCAAGTGTCTCTCCCCCTCTTCCCACATTGCGTAGTATTTCAGGCATTGCTCTCTCTCTCTCTCTTTCTCTTTCTTACTCCTGCTATCAGCAGCATTTCTGAGCTACTCATTGCTGCTAGTATCAGTTTCTGCTGAGTCACAAATTTGCCCTTTTATGGAGTCTGTCGACATAATCCTTTGTACTGTGTATTTTTTTGGTTGCTGCTACATTTTGATTACAAGCACTTTAAGCTTTTTAACAGTAAGGCTTAATAGTTTTAGAAAAAGACTTACAGTAGTACACTTTTATTTGCTGACATCAAATGTATCCTCCTTATCAGGAGCAAATTCAAGGACTGTGAAGTTGGCCAAACCTTTCCAGACAGACACAAAGAATGATTATTCTTAAGGCCATAATGGTTCTATTAAATGTACAACATACAAAGACCAAGAGTGAACCTTGTGAACTGGATTTTCAAACCAAACAACAGCCAGGAAGAGACACCTCAAGTCCTGCCTCTGCACGGAACTGATCCAAAACCACTGGACAGGTGTTATTTCATTTGCCTTCAGGTAAGCGCTTTCACTTCATCACCTTCTGACAAGGTGATAACTGGGATGGAGTTAATTCTGTACGGTATACAAGCTTGGAGATTTGAGAAAGAAATTTCTTAGCGCAGCTGCCTCACTGAATAAAGTGAAACAACAAAAATCGGTTGGTACCAACATTGGAATTTTTGGACGAATGCAAGTATTGATTTTAACCTCTTTCATGTGCGACTTGTAAGGCTCTGTCATTTGTACATAAGTAATTCGCAAAGTTTTCAACGCCTGGGTATTTATGCCCTTTCTGAACTGAAGACAATGTGGATGAAAAAATATAGATTTTTAATCGCTATAAAAAATTGCAGGCTTTTGTGTTTTGTGTCCTAACGTGAATTCACCAGTTTTAAAATCTTCCCACTTCCAGCCTCATCCCATGTCCAGCTCTCCCTCTCATCCCCACCTCCTTGACCTGCCACAACCCGTCCATCTTCTCTCCCCCTATCCGCCCCACCCATCCCACTGACCAAACCCCACCACTCTCTATCTGCATTCGCCTATCACCATCCCACCTACTTTCCCCAGCCCCACCTCCCATTATTTATTTCAGAGCTCTCTTTCCCCCTCCCCATTTCTGATGAAGTGTCCCGACCTGACACATCAACTTTCCTGCTTCTCTGCTGCCTGGCCTGCTGTGTTCCTCCAGCTCCACACTGTTACCTCTCACTCCAGCATTGGCAGTTCTTGCTATCTCTGAGGTTTTTGTGTTTGGTATTATTTAGCACCAAACCCAGCGTCAGTATTCAGTGAAGAAGGCTGTTGGATGAAACCAGTATGGCACCTTGCTTTTAAAAAGTTGTAAGACAATTGTGGGTAACTATCACTTGGCATTTTTATTTAGTTTTTAATCAATAATTAAGAAAATAATAGAATCTACCAACAGGAACAAGTTTAAAAAAACTTGAGTTGAAATAATCCAGTTCATAGTGATGTCATGATGGGAAGATGGATTACTGTTGAGGCATCCACTTTTCCAATGTACATCAGTAACCTGAATCTAAAAATGATATGGAAATTGATGGATGATATCAAATTAGGAGGGATAGTCAAGAACGGCTGAACATTAACTTTGGAAGTGTAGAAGGAAAATAGAAATTGTTGGAGATACTCAGCAGGTATGGCAGCATCTGTGGGGAGAAAGCAGAGTTAATGTTTCAAGTCTGGTGACTCTTCACCAGTTGTATAGCAGGATCTATACTAGATTATACATCGCCAGAATATGCCATACACAACTCAATTCAGATAAGAGCAAGGATTTCAACTTTTAGAGAAATGAGAGGCATGCTCAATTGGGTTGAACTGATAGGAAACGCTGAAAGATCTGGGAGCGGCAGTGGACTTTGTACTTGGCACATGTAGTCATTTGCAGAGCAGCAATCAACAAACAAAATGAGATATCGTCAAACAGTAAAAAAAAGATTTGGGCTCCTTACCTAAGGGAACATGTAGCAAGGCCAGGGGAGTGCAGTTGAAATAATTCATTAGCCGTAGTCTCAATTAAAATGAGATTATATGGATTGAAGAAGTGTAGTGTTTTTTTGACTGACATTAATTTTGATCATCAAAGTAAAATGGAAATATCCATGCCCTGGAGTTGAGCAGAAACAGTTTTGGTGTCAAAGAACTGAGTTATGAAGAAACATGAAAAAGTGTAAAACTTATGGTTATTTGGATTGTAATGGTGTGCAAGGAAATGGGGAAAAGGCAGGAGATTGGCTCTGGGTACTGGCACAATGGGCTGAATGGCCTCCTTCTGTGCTGTAATGATTCTGTGAAATGAGCCAAGTGAGAGAACTGAATAAACGCGAGTAAAATCTTAAACGGAACAGAAAATATTAATCATGAACATTGTTTCAAGTTAAACCATGTCTGCAGGACAAGAGAACACATATAAGTTAGTCATGGGCAAATTTAGGCTTGTGGTCAGGAAACAGAGATTAAGATTTGGAATAGCTCACTGAGTATGTTAATGTAAACGCAAATGTATAAAGTGTTGGTTCTGAATGGGATAATCCTAATACATATTGGCTCCACTCTTACGCAGTATCACATTCCAGTAGAAACTCTCACAAGGTACCAGGAGTGGTCGTCTGGGAAAAACGCCAGTTCCAACAGATCTGACCCTCGCATCAAGAAGACCAAGCAGAAAAGAAAAGCTTTGAAGAGAATTTAACGCTTTAATACACAGTCAGCAACTGAACTGGAATTACTGACAATCTGTAGATCCTGTGGAAGTTACAACAGGGCAGGCTCAGCAGCCAAAAGGTATAACTTTCTTCAGAAGATGGGAAGAATCGAGGTTGGGTTGTTGGCTAGAGAAAGAGTAAAGCCAGCCACTGTCAGATAAGGCTGAAGATAACTGGGACTGATAAAATGCTTTACAATGGGCTGTTATGTGAGTGGAATTACACTGAGTTATTCAGGTCTGCTCAAAGCTAAGATTGCAGGAAATCAGTAACGGCTGTCCCTACCAAATAAGGATGAAACACTTGGGATTGGTCACATGCACAGACAATTCCAACTAAGGCATATGTTTGGCACAGAGAAGAGCCTGAAAAAATTCTTGATTTTTCAGCAGAACTTCGAAGAATAACTCTGCAAGAGGCACCCAACATCAAGAGGTGTGAAGACATCAAGAAGAGTTCCAGCCAGGCCAGCTGCCAACTCTCCTGGGTAACAACATTTGGGTTTAGTTGCAGAACCCAGAGTAGTGAAAGAAAGTGAGTGAAATACCTACAGTAGTTAAAAGCATTTACGTATTAATAATTTTAATTGCATTTTATCAAGCTCCGTGTCTCCACTCTATCTTCGTCTACGTTCGTACTTTTGTCTCTCGGAGACAGGCAACAATATACTTAGAAAATGGCAAGGCCTTCGTGAAGGAATCCCTATAAAAAGCAACTTGAAACTCCAGAGAAACTGTTAATAAATTTCTCTAAGGGAAGAGGGAATAATGTCAGGAAAAATTGTGCCAATACAAGACCAGAGAAGGCAAAAGAACAATTTTTAAAAGTTCTCATCTCCTTCAATAAGCATCTCAGCTTTGGGCATGCAGGCTCCACAAAATGAAGCTTCGTGCAAAGGTTAAAAAGTCCAGAAGATACACTTCGATCGGGGCTACAGAATCAGGAAGGCCCCAGAATTTATTTAAATTGAAACCAGTAAATTTTAAAGAGACTTCATGAAAAACGTCTAGCAGAAAAAGAACTGGAAAGAAAACCTGAATATTTACAAGGACTTTGACTCTGTTACTAAGCCACAATTTCAGCAGGCATATTTATAAAGGCCACAGCCACCATTTTGTTTAAATGCTTGTGTTAACCATTCAGTTGTGTGTAAGAGAACTTCAAGATAAGTAAATGTTTGTATGTGTGGGAGAAAGTGCTTGGTGTTTTAGATCATGAGGCCATGACCAGCATTCCCTCTGATTTTCCTACCGGGTGTGTGGGTCTCTGTGGTATATGCACGGCAGTGACCGAACCGGCAGTGAATGCAACGACCAGCATGCCAACATTAATCAACACATCCGGAACATCAGAATGGGCATGTGCTCACAGTTTTAGAGGGGATGTTTCCCATAACTGGCCTGCCTGGGAAGAAGCAGAAAACTCCATCTTGGATGCAGAAGGTGGGGAAAACCACTGGAAAAATTCAGGAACTGCCACTTGGGATCTTGTTTTAGAAAAAGGTGGGAAAACGTGGCAAGCCATTCTGAAATACAGTATTACAAAGAAACAAAACAAATCAATCAGTCTTTTGCCTCACTGGACTGACACACTGGAAAACAAGCTCCGCTATTCCTGGAGTCGTCATGAGATTACAGCCTGCAGCTCATTTTAAGCTTCAGTTTCTATCGTCAGTTTGGACACAGTAACCTCTCTTCAGTGATTATAACGCACCTATGCTCCAAGACTCCCCACGAAACAAAAGAATATTATACATAATGTGTAGTGTAATCACCAAAACAAAGTACAATATGGCAAGATACAAAAGACTCTAATGAGGAATTGAAAAAATAAAACACTTCTTTTCCCTAAGGTGCAGGAGTTCAAAACTAAAGGATATATTTTAAGGTGAAAGAAGATTTAGAAAGGACTTGAGGCTCAACCTTTTTTACACAGAGTAGTTAGTTTATGGAACAAAATTCCAGAGGAAGTGGTGGATAGAGGTACAGTTACAATGTTTAAAAGACATTTGGATAAATCCATAAATAGGAAAGGTTTGGAGCGATATTGGCCAAATGCAGGCAGGTGGGACTAGTTTAGTTTGGGAACATGGTTGGTGTGGACTAGTTGGACTGAATGGTCTGTTTCCACGCAGTATGACACTATGATTTGTTAAAATGCACACAAAATTCCTGTCTTTTTAGACCCAGATTGACAAAGCACTGATCCAGGTTCTGTATTGAATTGCTATTTATTTGAAGTAACTAGACTCTATCTAGCTACAGGCAAGTCATTAGAACCCAAAAACACACACAGCCCTACAAATTAATTTTCTCTTATTCCTCTTAAACCCGCCCTCGTGCATGCATAGGTTGGTGCATAGACAGTTCAATAGTCTTCATTCACAAGATCTGTTGAGTTGGCTCTTGCCCATCTTTCTTGCTGGTTTTCCTCATTTGAATGCTTCAACTGGTTTGCAAGAGGCATGGGGTTGCTGGTGCATCCAACAATGCAAGTCAGTGCTTAATAAGTGGCCTGCAATGGGTCAGAGAGCTGCTATGGTGGTTGCGGGGTTCTGGCAGGTGCCAAGGTCTGTGTATGAAGGGTGCATGTGGCTAGTGCCCATGGACCATGATCTGAGATGCTGCTTGGTCCTCCCATCCAGCAAGGACCTGAAGTCTCCAGGTACCTGTTCTGACTGCCATGTCTAGATTTCTTTATCTGGTGAGTTTGGTGAAATAGGAAGTGTTGGTGTGTCAAACAAGCATTTAACAAGCTTTAATCACCATCAGTTGTCAAATTGAT